CACACACACACACACACACACACACACATGCAAACACACACACACACACACCAAACACACATGCATGCACACACACCAATGATGACGTAAATGTTTATAAAGTAAAGTCTTAATAATCTCCATGAGCAGTTCGATCTGATGTCATGAAACAAATCTGAATGATTATTATACTTCATTGTTGATTTATTAACATTCATCAGTTACTAACTGAAGAATCATTTATTTGACCTTTAACGACAAAGAGAGATTCACTATAAACGATTTGACCGTCACTGTCCACAAACGTTGTTCAGCAATACATCCACTAGAGGGCAGCTGAGAGTCCAGAGCTCCAGACGACGTGATAATGTTTGTTCCAGACGAAGTCGTAGTCGAAACGTAGAATCTGTAGTTTCTTACTCGCCTCGAAAAAGTTCCACCATTGTTGATATTTTTCCTCATGTCTTAAGGTCATTACACTGCCCCCTATGATTTCCAGTGGTACTGCTGTTTTCCGTGCCTTTCCTCCTGAGCTTCAAACTGGTGGAACGACCCTTTAAATCCTCTTCACCGTGTGGTTTGTGTGTCGGCAGGGGGAGTGTTCTCAGAAGTGTCACAGCATGTTCGTGGTGGAGTCCATCTGCGTCGCCTGGTTCACGTTGGAGTTCGTGCTGCGATTTGTCAACGCGCAGAGCAAGCTGGCCTTTGCTCGCGGCCCCCTCAACATCATCGATGCCATCGCCATCCTCCCGTACTACGTGTCGCTGGTCATCGACATCAGAGATGAGTCACAGGAGGAGGTCTTCATGGGCGCCGGCAGAGGCTACCTGGACAAACTGAGCCTGATCCTGCGGCTGATGCGGGCTCTGCGCATCCTGTACGTGATGCGGCTGGCTCGCCACTCGCTGGGCCTGCAGACGTTGGGACTGACCATGCAGCGCAGCATGCGGGAGTTCGGCCTGCTGCTGCTGTTCGTCTGCGTGGCCGTGACTCTCTTCTCACCTCTGGTCCATCTAGCGGAGAGCGAGCTAGCGCCATTTGCTGCCACGCACCCTCAACACAGCTTCAGCAGCATCCCAGCATCATACTGGTGGGCCATTATCTCCATGACTACGGTGGGCTACGGCGACATGGTGCCGCGCAGCATCCCCGGACAGATAGTGGCACTGACCAGCATCCTGAGCGGCATCCTCATCATGGCGTTTCCCGCCACCTCCATCTTCCACACTTTCTCCCGCTCCTATCAAGAGCTGAAACAGGAGTATGAGCGGCTGTGGAAGGAGGAGAGAGGAGAAGAGATCGCTGCCGAGTCAGAGAACAGTTGGTCCAAGGGCGACTCGTCACCAGATGAGGTCACGTCTTTCTCCAAGGACGATAATGATGGACTGATGTCCAGCGAGAGTCCTCGGTCCACACTTCCATCCACAGCGTTTTAACGGGACTTTATTCAGTTATCGACTCCAGAGGCCTGTTTATTTTCAACAGTGTCACAATTTGAGTTCACGTCCTGGTTTCATTTGTTACGTCAAAGCTTCAGTGTGCAGGATGTGGTGGCCTCTAGTGGTGAGGTTGCACATTGCACCTAATTGAAAAACCTCCCCTTTCGAATGTGTGAGAGAATTTTTGATGGTCGTCAGGTAACATCATCTGTTTTCACATCTCATGTTGTGTAGTCATGTTGTGTAGTCATGTTGTGT